AAGCGAAAGGCTTTCAAGCAGCGTAATGCTGAATACTGGGGTTACAAAGATTCATTCGTTTACTCATCCGGCAACAGCTGGTACGACAGATCGCAACCATCAGGTAGCCATCACAGATACGGAAGATTCTGGGAATGGCCACAGCCTGAACGTCCCAGCGAGCCTGAAGGTCCTCCTCCAAGAAGGAACCAGGAATCATCGTCCTCTTCACAACAAGATCTACCAAGATCAAGGTCCAGGCCTCAAAGAACCAATATTGTTGACAAGCTCAACATGTCTTTGGAAGAGCTGGATGGACTAGAAGAAGAACCGTCACCAACAAAAAGTGACATCGAAGAACACGAAAGAGAAACATCAAACTTGATGTCTGCTCAGAGAGATGAAGAGGAACAAGAGGACGAATCCTCCAGCCGGAGAAGAAGAAGGAAGGCATCGCGTCCACCGTCTGCTCCGAGCGGCAAGGCACTCAGAACAGCTGCTACAGCAGCGGGGTTGTCGGGCTGGTTCGGACACCGCAACCAAGGTGGAGCGAACGCAGAGTCTATCAAGACTGATGAAACTTCACTTCCAAACTCACTAACCAGTGAGCAGGACTTCTCCGTCTTCAGCATCGCGTGGAATGTGTTTCTGCTGCTAATGGGCTTACACTGGATGTGGAAGCAGATTACCAGGCCTCCTATCAGATGTATGGAGCGCCAACAACCAAAATCAAAAGCAGCAGCGAACCAAAGAGTTCCATTCCTCGAACCCGAGGATGAACCGCAGACGCGTGAACCTTTAGGACCCAACAGGGTCAATTCCGGAGAAACAACTGATCTGCGACCTATCTGGCATACTTCCCGAAGCGAAGTCTACCATCTCTCAGACAGCTGTTACCAGCTCAAGCAAGCAAGAGATGTTTGCAGGAAGGTGCTGTGCAAAAACTGCCTCCATGCAGTACAAGTTGCGGAGATTCGCAGGAACGATCCTTTCCAAAGAGGTGACACACGTCCACGTGGCACCGAAAGAGACATTGAGCGCTTCCAGACCTACGATGATGCAAGTACCACTCCTCATATGACGCAATTATTCAAAGATGCATTGCATGCACAAATGGCCGAAGAAGCCATGCAGATTACCTATACATCGATCCCCAAGGGATCCTCGGCAAAAGCCAAAGGTACATCTGCACTCTCAAGTGCCGCATCGTCGTCAGCGCCCAAGGCAATGCCACCAGGGCCTAACAAGGCAAACATGTCACCTCCACCTAAGAGTCCTCCGCCAAAGGCGAAAGGAACAGTACCTTCAGATCCTCCAAGACCAAAAGGTCCTACCAGAAGAGGAGGTCAAAATCGGCGCATTCAACGAAAGGCAGCCAGAGAAGCCCACAACAGTGGACTCTGCACCTATGCAGACGCTGCACTTAACGAAGCCAATCAAGGCCAGGCAATTAACATTACGTGCCGAAACATGGCAGCAAGACACGTCAGCTCTATCGATGCAACGGTAGAAGCAGCCGATCAGTTTACACAACGCGTGCTACAGCACGTAGAAACATATGATGAAGAGGAACCGTGGAGCACGGAGTTTCTACCAGTCGTGGAAGTCCTATTCAGGAACTTAAGCGGCGACGAAACAACTGTCATACATGACAATCAAACGGTAACTATGCCTCTTACGAAATACACAGACCTCCTCAGAATCGCACAATCATTGCGAAGCTCTATCCAGAGAGACAAGGAGGAAAGGAAGGAACATCTTGACACCATCCAAGATACTCTATCCAGAGTGGAAATCCTTCTAACAGCACTGAAGGACTCAAGGACAGTCTTTAACCAATTGGTCCATTCCTCACTAGAGATAGAGCGAAGAAATAACAATCTCAAAAATGTCCTCGAGACACTCTTTGACGACCAAAGCTCTGAGGAAGACCAGTCAGAATCTGACAATGAAGAAGTCCTAACTCCTTCTGCAGCACAGTACTGGAATAGCCTTTATGCCCACGCCTTATCTCCTTCAGGAGATGAAAGTGAAAGATCATGGGCGTCCTCAGACGGACAGCTTGAAAGAAGAAGGGCTGAACGGGCAAGGGCTAAGCAGCCACAACCGGCTAAAGCCAAGGCAACTCCAGTCAGCTCACAAGCTGCACCAAAGGCCGAGCCAAAGGCGACAACATCCAACCATGGATATGATATTGCAGACGCCGCCTTCACCAGGGCTGAGAACAGACTACTCGGAATTTATTCAAGTTCCGAAGAAGATCACTCAGACCCGGATGAGCCACATCCGAACGTCTACGCTCGAGCCTATGATCCAAACCTGGATCCAAATCTGAGATAAGGAAAATCTCAGAGTTTCACAACAGTGACTCACAAAGCTCTAACAAGAGCAAGGTGAAGGGTTGCATAATTCGATGTAGAAAAATATCACCAGACATGATCTTGTACAGACGATCTCTCTGACCAACATGCATGAGTGTGTGCAAAAGGAGTGTCCTCAGCAGTGTACTTCAGTGCTACCTAGCATAAACAATATGCTGTTTTTATCATGAGTCCAAAACTCCGCAACTGTGACAGTGGGCATAATAGTATATGTGTGAATGTGCGGCCATGCTTCCGGTAAAAGAAAATTAGTGTCTGTTTGAAACCATAAACCTCTAAAGGGGTAGCTCTAACAGGTACCTACAGCAATGGCTGCATGCTCATACATATACATTCCGCTGCCCATTGGCTCACAGTGGTTTTACCATATTGAGACAAGACAAGCTCTCCTTGCGTAGCAAGACAAAACAACTACTGTCCGTGTGCAGGGCGCTGCCCTTTGATCCTTAGGGAATAACTGGTCATACACCTCCTAACAAGGAGTATTCCTTGTGGGTGTATCGGCACAGGGGGAGGGGGGCAGGGGGGGAGGGGGGAGGAGGGGTGGGGGAGTGCGGAAAATGGTGGGACTGCCTACAGAAAGCCAAAATCCACTGGAGAAGGCGAAAATTCACCGCCAGACCTTGGGGCTCATCGACACGTTTCCATTTTTTAGGGGGGATTCTGGGGGTGGGGTCATTGGGGAGGGGGGGAGGGGAAAGAGGTGGGGAATAGAGGGAATCCGAATTGACCGCTTCGGCCGGGGCCGAGGCGAATTTTTGCTGGGATTCTAAGTTCAGTATAGTTTAGGGTTTTGGGGTTTAGTGGTAAGGTCGGAGGCTTCAGGGAGCACAAGTTGTGTTAGATCCGGAATTCCTCTACCATCATACTTCCTTGTTTGGTTTACCCTAAACCCCAAACAGTAGCCTGTTTTCTATGAAGGATCCTATAGAAAGTAACCCAAAAGAGGACTACAATGGAACCCCAACCCTAAACCCTAAAACCCTAAAACCCTAAACCCTCAACCCTAAACCCTAAACCCTAAAACCCTAAACCCTAAACCCTAAAACCCTAAAACCCTAAACCCTAAACCCTAAAACCCTAAAACCCTAAAACCCTAAAACCCTAAACCCTAAAACCCTAAACCCTAAACCCTAAAACCCTAAAACCCTAAAACCCTAAAACCCTAAAACCCTAAACCCTAAAACCCGAAACCCTACACCTCCTGAGCGGGTTTTGTCCTGCTTGTTTCGGTTTCTGAGCTCTGCGTCCGAAGCTGTTTAGGGGTTTGGTTTAGGGGGGGTTGGGGCTTAGGATTTAGGGGTTAAGGTTTAGGGACTAGGGTTTAGGAGTTTAGGGTTCAGGGTATAGGTTCAGGGTATAGGGTTTAAGGTTTAGGGTTTAGGGGTTAAGGTTTAGGGTTTGAGGTTTACGGCTTCGGGTCTAGGGTTTAGGGTTTAGGGTTCAAGGTTTCAGCGTTCAGGATGTAGGCTTCCTACCAATGTCTTTCGGGCACCTGGGCGCCGCACGTGGTCTCAACATGCACAGTGCGAGAGCATCGCGAATTGGACCACGGCCACGCCCTCTTATAGTTTGCAAGGTACGCAAGCTGAGGCGGCCACTTGGTTTCTCCACAACCCAAGACGGTGCTGCGTGTTGATTGGCCCCCCAGTGGGGATGAAGAGGACACGCAAAGGTTGCTGTGGCGCCTCAATCACGTTCAGACCTTAGAAAGGCACGTGAAGGAGAAAGTCGAGGCCAGTGGCTTCGAATGGAACAAGGACGGCAAAGGAAAAGGGAAAGGAGGCTTCATTCGCGTCATGCCTTCCGAACAAGCGAGATCCCATAATGAAGCAATATCAAATATCCCATAAATCCTATACTAGGGATCCTGCTACAGGCTACGGTACATTCCTTAATTAAGTGGGAGGTTTGGGCAACTCTAAGATTAATCACGGGAGCCACGAGCCCCAACAGCAGGGTCGTGAATCTGCAAGACTTCCTAGTACGCGAGTCCTCAACGCAACAAACACTTGGCGTTCGTCTGATTGGCTCTTATGACTTTAGCTTTTTGCATTTCTGCATGAACTATAATAAGGAGGCTAAAAGTGTAAGTGTTAGGAGGGATTCAGAAGTCAGCCAAGAGTAAACCCACGAGCCCGGTAGCTGACCCTTTCCTATGTAGTAGAGTAGGCAACCTTTAACCTTTTTGAGGTAGTATAGTTCCTATATAATCCTTATATAACCAAAAAGGTTAACTTTTAATTCCCCATGATACCCGACAGGTAGGTCACAGTACGGCACCTAATATTTAGGGTACCCAAAAAGGGACCATAATTTGGACAACCACCCTTTTATCTTTCAGGGTTTAGGGTTCAGAGTTTGATGTTAATGAAGCTTTAAAGCGGGCCTCAGTCTAAACCCTGAAAACCTTACACCACTTACGGAGCCCTTATGCTTTAGGCCGTGCTTTTAGCCCTTGTGGCAGCTCTCATAGTGTGGCGCTTGCAGAAACTCCTGCAGGAAATATAGGGGCCTGAAGAATTACCTACACTATTTTTGGGGTTCCTTGTCAGAATCATAGTATAATGGGCCCTAAAATCCTACTTAAATGTTTCCAGGCCCCTAGATTAACTGCAGTAGTTTTCTCAATCTGCTCAGATGATGAACCGGGAAGCCGCGAAGTTGGGCCTCCAGGCACGGCTGGTTTGGTACCTTGGGTTTCTCTTAGGGGTACCGAGAAATATTTTTTAATTTTTGCTTATTATAATCCCTAAGAAACAGCTACAATTATATTTTTTGCTAGGGTTCTAAGTTCAGTATAGGGTTTGGTACCTTGGGTTTCTGGGGTGTAGAGTTAGGGTTTGGGTTGTAGGGTAAGGGCTTTTGGTTTTCGCGGAGTCATGTTCGTCCTTTTTTAAGCACGCCCTCCTGAGCGGAAGAGAGATACAATTTCGAAAGGCATCGCGGCATCGGGGAATTTCCAAGTTTATGGCCCGAGGGGCCAGAGTTCTCACTTGTATGGTTCAGCAGAAGGGCCTTAGTTTTCTCAAAGGATCCGAGTGGCTCGGTGGATACACTTTACACTTTTGGGGATAATATTACCCACTATAAATAAAACTGAAAGTGAACACTTTTGGGGGCTTACGAACTCAGCGACGGAGGGATGGCAGGAAGGTGAAAGAGCGCGCGTGTGTGTGTTGGGTTTGGGGTTGTGAGCGTGTTATGTTCTTTGCATGCCCTGCTTTTTTCGTTAACTATGTTGTTTTGTGCGCGGTGCTTTGGGGTCCAGCTTGTGTCATGAGCTTCGTTGTCCTGACCGGCGAACATACACTTGAGCGTTGGGGGATTTGGCTGCTATTGGGCGGTGTCTTGGTTGAAGGGTCGGGGGTTTTCTGGTCTTTTCCAGCCGTTTCTCTCCGTGGTCGAAACTAGGCTGTGCATACATAGTGAACGGGGGAACTTTAGACTTTTTGGCCCTATATATCAACTCTATCTTGGAAAGCTTGATTTTTTTGGGGCCCGGTTGTTGGAGAAGAGAGATTGCAAAGGTGCATTCAACTCAACCTTTGTAGCTGGGTGGTTGTCAAAATTATGGTCCCTTTTGGGGTCCCTACTACAATACATCACCTAGTATTTAGGGTACTCAGAAAAGGACCCTAATTTTGACAACTACCCAGCTCCATCTTAAAGGGAACTCCAGAAAGTTGGAATATGGATTAATGGTAGGATCCCCTATAATTTACCTTAAAGGGGTTACGACAATGATATTCCAACTTTCTGGCTTCTACTGTACTGTGGGTGCTCGGAGCCAGATAGCTCGATGGACTGGAGATCGATAAGAGAACCGCCTGTTCAGGGTTTTAGGGTTTAGGGGTGTAGGGGTTTAGGGGTTTAGTGTGTAGGGGTTTAGGGTGTAGGGGTTTAGGGGTTTAGGGTGTAGGGGTGCAGGGGTTTAGGGTCAAGGGGTTTAGGGATTTAGGGTTTAGGGGTTTAGGGTTTAGGGGCCTTAGGTGATCAGAAAGAGATTTCGGGAGTATGCTATGACAGCCCAAAAGCCATACACGCATGTGCAAGTTGGAAGGGCGTCCTCTGGGGTTTGTGCTGCTGGCTTACTTCATCCAAATTTAGAACTCCATATTATGTGGCAGCTTAGTGCAAAGGTATGAGTCCAACACTCACAGTCTTTAGGCCTCTAGCTTGGATATTAGCCGGTTTTGGCGGCTCCACGGGGGTGAGGTATAATTTAAATCTCAGTCCTTCTCATTACCCTGAAATCTTTGAAAAAGCTCTTCTGCCTAAGAGGTTCTACAGGGAAATCACAATAAAGAGCCCTAAAAAATGGGGTTCAGGTAAGCCCTAGAACCGAAGCCCTGCGTCCTGAACGAGCTCGGTTTGTACATGGAGGTTCAGGGGCAGTTGTAAGTGGCGTTATAAGGCCCCTGATATGGGGTATGCGTATAGTTACCCTACTTATAACTACCCATGAACCTCCAAGTAGCGTATTTCCAGGTGCTTTTCCATGAGAAGCCGTTCGCCGGCATCAACGGCAGTGGCAAGCACGCCAACTGGTCCGTCGGCACTGACACAGGCAATTCTTAGCCTTAGTTTACTTCATATGTACACATGTGATATGCTTGTTTGTAAGCATTACTACAGTTGGCCGTATACTAAGAGTTGCTACTAGAAGTTGGGGCGGGCCTTAACCCCTAAACCCTAAACCGCAAACGTCAAAGCCCAAATCTTATGGATCCCATGTAAAGCAGCAGGGTTGAGCATCGGCCTCGCATCCTGGCTGCTTTGCGAATTTTAAGATGAGGGTCTTTGTAGTGTCTGCCTTGTTTAGGGTTTCGTTTAGGGGTTTAGGGTTCAGGATTTAGCGTGTAGGGCTTAGTGTTTAGTTTCGAGACGCTTGGGGTTTGACGTTTGGGTTTTCAGCTGTTTTAAGGTTCAGGGTTCTCGCAACCTCGACCCTGTTGGATCAGCAGAAGGTATGGAGGAGGCCGCTTGCAGCCAGATAGCTCGAAAGCCTGCAGAAGGATAAGGTGACCCCAAGCCCTAAACCTTACTAGCTGAGTGGATACACCTTACGCTTTTCGGGATAATCTTCCCCGCTTTAAAACCAAAAGTGTACACTTTTTGGGGGCCTATGGATTCCGCAGCTAAGTTACAGGTAAACCTGAAAAGGAGCCTCAAACACCCACAAGCCCCCCAAGGTCGAAGAAGACCCAAAAGTCCTAAAGGCTTATGGACTCAGCAACTCTGACCCAAACCCTCAAGCCCAAACCCTAAACCCCAGGCCCCAACATGCGGACACCGCAAGGCGTTGAAAAAGAATTTACTTAGAAATGATTTTTAATATTTGGTTATTTTAATCCCTAAGAAACAGCTAAAATTACAATTTTTGCTAGGGTTCTAAGTTCAGTATAGTCCTATCATAGGTGGCCAAAAGGGGTTTTAGCCTGTGCGGGTTTAGTAAGGATTAGGGTTCCCATAATGGGGTTCATATTATTAAGGAATCCCTACCCCAAGAATCTTAACCCCCCTTTTGGCCTCCCATCATCCTAGCAGACCTGAACTTCTTCTACCCTAGCAGTAAACCCTAACCCCTATAACCCTTAAACCCTAAACCCCTAAACCCTTAAACCCCTAAACTTTAAAACCCCTAAACCCTAAACGAAAAGAAAATCCTCTAGCAGGCCTGAACTTCTTCTACCCCTTAAGCCCTAAAGCCCTTAAGCCCTAAAACCCTAAAACCCGGCCTAAACCCTAAAACCCTAAACAAAAAGAAACTCCCATAGCAGGCCTGAACTTCTTCTACCCGGGCAAGACCGAAGAGGGAGCGAAGCTCTTCGTCACGGGCATTGCCTGCCTCTCGCCCCCCGGCCTCAAGGTTTGGGGGCCTTTAGGGGCATAGGTTTAGGGTTAAGGGTTTAGGGTTTAGGCTTCAGGGTTTAGGGTTTAGGGTTTAGGGCTTTAGGGCTTTAGGGCTTTAGGGCTGTAGGGTTTAGGGGCTTCAGGTTTAGGGTTTAGGGGTTCAGGGCGAAGAGGGTTTACGGATGAGCGTCTCAGGCTTCCGGGTTTACGGTGTAAGGGTTTAAGGGTTTTAGGGTTCAGGGTTTAGGGGCTTACAGGGTTCAGGGTCCAGGGTTCAGGGGTTTAGGGTGCAGGAGTTAAGGTTTCGGGTTTAGGGTTGAGGGCGGTTGTCACTTCAACCGTGAACCTTCAACCCAAGCCAAAAACCCGAAACCCTAAGCCTTACTTTAACCGGGAATAACCTACCTGTGTAAGGGTTCTTATAAGGAAATCAAAACAAGGAGCCCCAAAAAGGCAGGTTATTCAGGGTTAAGGTAAGCCCTGGGAAGCTGTAGGAACGGGTGGGTAAGGCTCAGTGATGGATGGTTTCAAAGGGGAAAAGGAGGGACCCTTAATGAGGACCCCTACCCTATAATGGGTTAACAGTGTATGCAGTAGACCTGTTAGTATTATGGTAAGGATATCCGCAGTAATGGGTATATAATAGCTATATGAAGGGTATATACCTAGGGGTCCTTATTAAGGGTCCCTCCTTGTTTACTTCTATACTACAGACATAGAGCACCGTCGACGAGAGAGAGTCGCCCTTCCCTCTCAGGCGGCGTAATCTACTTAGAGGATCATGGGACTTAGTAAGTCGGGTTATAAGTAAGGTAACTATAGTTATCTCTACTTATAACCCCAAATAAGGTACTTATAACCCTACTTGCTAAGTCCCATGATCCTCCAAGTAGGGGCCTAAATGACTTCTCATACGTCGTATTGCTAGGTTTCCTTATGGTAATGATAGTATAAGATACCCCCCAACCCTCTTCTAATTATTGAGGCCCCTACAGTATAATATAGATAAGATACCCCAAAACCGTCTTCGACTTTGTTAAGGCCCCTGCGGTATAATGTACTTGAAGGGTCGGGGGACTTAGTAACTGGTTATTGTAGGGACTTGTAAGTACCATAGCCCCAATTAGGGTTCCTTTCAGGGTACTTATAAGTCTACTTACATCGTACTTACTAAGTCCCCGACCCTCCAAGTAAGCCAGAAGTCCAAGCACTTCAGTCGGCAGAGGCCACGGGGCGGTAAGCTGGCCCCCCAGCCTTCCCTTTTCAAGTTCTACCTTAACCCGAACTAATATGTTTGGTTTAAACTAACGGGTTTTTAAACCGCTTCTACTTGTGAATTAAAGGCTTTTTACAGGGTTTAGTAGCAGAAATCATATCAAGGAGCCCCCAAAAGTAAGGCTACCTGGGGTCCAGGTAGGAGAAGGAAGAGCATCAAAGGGGGACGGAACTTGACGGAGGCCTCGTAGGGACTTGTAACCCTAAGCCGTAAACCGACAGGGTACTATAGGCGCCTTAATACTTCGAACAGGGGTTTGGGGCCCGCTATACTGTTACTATAATCATAATAAGGAACCCCCCCATAAGTATAAGTAATTATTTGGGCCCCTGTAGGGCGAGCATTTAGGGCTCAGGGTTGAATTTGTTGTGTCACTAGGTTTTAGGTTTGAGTTCAGGTGAAGCGCTGTGTAATCATTAACATCACTAGCATCGCGGGGCGTTACTTGTCTTCTTTTTCTTTCTCTTCCTCTTAGTTGTTTCTTTCGCTCTTGTTCCTACAGCTACAGATGTTGATATCATTGCTGCTGCTTTTTACACTGCTACTGTGCTCACAACTATCCAACCCAAAACCCAAAACCCAAACCCCTGGACTAGGGCCCCTTTTGAGTTAGGGTGCCGTACAGTTAAGGGTCCTATTTTACGCAACTGCCCGGCAGGTATGGCCTTGCCCAGTACAACGAGCTCGTACGCTGCACTGTGGCCTCTGCTGGCAACGACCATCGCCTGGGTGCGCAGGTAGGACTTTGAGGTAGGGGGATGTTTTTGCAACGGAGGGGGAGGCGGGGGAGGGTTGAGATGGAAGACGTGGTTTATGGCTTATGGTTGATGTTCCTTTCCACCGGGCGATGTGCTCGCCGAAAACTTCATAAGGCCATCTCGAGTCCCTTCGCAGGAGGCGCCTCCAGCCATCATCTCACTCTACCCGGGCCAGGCCGGGTTTACGTCTCAGGGTTTAGGGCTTAGGGTTTAGGTTTAGGGCTTAGGGTTTTGAGTGCTTAGGCTGTTGGGCTTTGATGTGGTGGTTTCATGGTGGCCCGCAATGTCTGGGAGCGTAGTTGTAAGTCCCATCTTAGTAATCATATAGTATAGAGCAGGCTCGGGAATTCTGTTGCTGAGGGCACCTCGGATGCGCCCATATGACACGAGCGCTGAGTGATGTACTACAAGCGCCTAAATAATTGCATTTTTTTTGAGGGGGTGTCCTTATTCTTAGCTCTCCAATACCCAACCTTTGAACTTTTTGGGTTTATAGATTTTAGTGGTAATCTGAAAGTTTAACCTTTTATTTACCTGGCTTATTGGGGAAGTAAGTATTATGAGTATAGTATAATACACCAAAACCCAACTTGCTCTGAGAGTTTTTTTCTTCAAGAGGGGGCACCTGCCACTCTGCTTTTCTTTGCTCGCCCAGACGTCCAGTCCGCTTCACCGCAAAACCCTATCCTAGTTATTAGGCCCCTATATGGGGGTTTCCGAAAATAGGGGGCCCTAATCTAGTGCCCGAAATAGTAGGATCCTCATTATAAGGACCCCGAAACTTGGTATCCCTAAGTTTCGGAATCTCCCATATTAGCCCCTGGAGGATCCAACAAGCAACCCAAGCCGTCCTAAGCAATATCGCGAGTGAATAACAAGAACCCATCATGGGTTTAGGGCTTAGGGTTTATGCAGGCAGTCTTGGGACAGCCCAGAAGCGAATCACTTGTGGATCAACTACATAAGGTATGACGGCCTTCACAAAGGATCTTTTGGGCTTAGGGCCATCACCACAGTCGCAACATCAGCTGCGCTACCAACAACAGAGCTAATGCGGTCAGGGCACTTGCTTTTCCCGTGCCAGGGCTTCGAGAAGTACGTGGACGAGGTCATCAAGGGTGCAGAGCTCACGGGGTACAAGGCCCGTTCAAAAAACCGCGGCTGAAAAAGCTAATGTAGGAACCCGATTAAGAAACCTGGGGCCTTTATCAGGCCTCCTTATATGAATCCTACTGTTTTGGCCAGGGTTTCTTAATCAGGTTCCGACATTAAGGGCTGTGGCTTTCCTGGAAGGGCATCCCTATAGTAGGAGCCTTCCGGTGCTTTTTAATTAGGGTTTAGGGTTTAGGGTTTAGGTTCCTATTTGGGGCGTTTGTTCCTACTTAGGGCTTTTGAATTTTGGGGTTTAGGCAGGGTTCTGGGGATCTGGGGTTTAGGGCTTTGAGGTTTCCTATCTGGGGCTTTTTGAGGTCTCCTATATAGTAAACCTTGGCAACAAGTCTTAAAGGAACCCTTAGAGTTGGTTAACCTGTTTAGGAAAGGATGGCAAAAATTCTATAGACCCTAGTCCCTAAACCTTAAGACCCTAGTCAAGAGGCGGAGAAGAAGAAGCAGCCTACTGGTGCCTCCCAGCCCATGTCCGTGGAGGCCAACGTCGAGGAGCGACCCCCCGTAGGAGCCTTTTCAGGGTTTTAGGGTTTGTTGGGTTTAGGATGTAGAGTTTAGGGTTGTGTTCATATTTCTCGTTGCTTGCAGCTTTTGCTGTTTCGTTTCAAACGTTTTTTTTTGCAAAGTTTGTTGACTATATCTTGTTATTCATTTCTTTTTCTTGCAATACTGGCTTGTAGCTTTGTAAAATATGTCAATTTTTGTTTGAGCAGCGGTATGGTTTCTTGTCAGGAAGGGGCGTGTTCATGGCTTTGGGGGTTTTGAGGGTGTGGGTTTTCATAATCTCACGAGCGTGAAAGTTTTTGTGTATAGGGCTAACCTATTCACCGCCTGTCGGGACCCGACGCTGTGGTGGTTTTACGGCTTTAGGGCATAAGGACTGCAGGTTTGAACTTTTCGTTTTTTTGGCTTCAGGGGGCACTACTAAGAAAGGTTTTCTGAATCCCGTGGGCCATGTCTGGCTTCATTTGGGGCCGTCAAGTTGGTGCTCTCTCACTTCCGGCATCACTTTCTTGCTCCATTTCAGACTTGATCGCATCGGCTATGTCTGGCTTCACTTCGGGCTGCCTGGCAAACTAATCTAAACCCTCAGCCGTTTCATTTCCGTGGTGGCATCTTTCGCTGCACAAGTATGGCCTTTCCGGCTGCGTTTCCGGCCTCATTTTATTTTCTGTCCCTTGCTTGCATCGGTGGTTTCAGGCTCCCATTCCGTGGTCGTGTCGGTTACTTCTCGCTTCATTCCGGGTTCCCGCCGTATCCGACGTCATGTCATGGGTTGCTGCCTAATGATTGCATTTCCGGCTTGATTTCCTCTTTGCTTTTGGGGTTCTAGTCTCAGACGGGACAACCCGAACATAGTAATTCGCAAGAAAGGCCCCTTCAACACAAGCGCTTGGTAGAAGTCCTAACCGTCGATAAACCCTCAGCCCAAACCCATACGCAGAGGATCGGAATCGCACGGCGCCCTTCCCATTCTGCGGCAACCGCACCCTTGCTGATCTTCAGGCCATAGGACCCAATTTGTGGTTTCAGGTGACGACGCCCGGTGTGTGACCCCGACGCCCGGTGTGTGACCGGTGCGTCCTGCTTCGGAGTGCTGATGATGCGCATGAGGGGTGGGTGGGTTGGGGGGGTGTTATAACGTTCTTTGTTTAACGCTCTTTCTTAAGCTTTCTTTAACGTTCTTTGTTTCAGCATTGTTTCAGGATGTACTTTGCTAGTCAGTCATCATGTCAGCGTTGTCATGGATGCAAGCTGCTGCATGATGTTTGCATGGCAACGGTGGTGCTGGATGATGCTGCTGGATGCTGCTTGCATGGGCACGGTGTTGGATGCTACTTGCATGTGACTCACATGGTCAACTCCTGAGGCGGGATCGTTAGAATCCTCGATCAACAACAAGAGTCTTAAATGCGATGGCAACCATATTGAAGCGAATGCCGAGCGCATGTGGCAGTTTCGATTCCGACACGCATGCATCCGGAAGCATACAAAGCACTCTCAAAGTTGTGCTCAGCTGCCAACAGCTGAGGGAAGTTTCGGAAACGCCGAGAGCAAAACCGCGCGTTTTACTGCAGCAATAGCATCATTATCTCTTGTACAAACGAAACTGTTAAGCCCTTCATATGCAGCACTTCTCAATCAGGCATATGCTTTTGCCCTGGGTTTTGCAGCATGCCCATTTTCTATAGTGGTGCCAAACGCCGGTCACGTACCAGGCGTTGTTACCTGATTTCAGAGTTGAGGTGGCTTAGGGTTTAGGGTGCAGGTTTTATGGTTTAGGGTTTCAGGTTCATCTTATGCTAATGTCAACCTCTGAACCGTATAATTAAACCCCAAACCTGTTTCTGCGAAGCTTTGGATCAATGTTGCTGGAGCAGCTTCAACACCTAAAGTATCTCATTGTAGGCCCCATAAAGGAGCCCTTTAAAGGCACCCCCTATAGGCAGCCTTAAAGACGCCTTTAAAGCAACCCCTATAGATCCCTTAAAGGACCCCCTGTGGAATACGCCGCTGGCACGCGATGCATAGCCTGGATGGGACACGAAGTGCTAGGGTTGCCAATAGGCCTACGTGGAGGTTCATGGGTGGTTCGTTTTATAAGTAGATGACAAGTGCCCACCCCAAGATGGGCTACAAAGAACAGCAATTACTTATAACCCCACTAACACCTACACATGAACCTCCAAGTATCCCTGAATATGGCCTAGGATCATAGTTACCCTACTCATCAAAAGGGAAAAGGAGGGATCCTTAATGGGGACCCCTACCCTACAAAGGGCTATATAATGGGTATATAATGGCTATATTAAGGGTATATAGCTAGGGATCCTTATTAAGGGTCCCTCCTTTTACCCTAATACCTACCCATGAACCTGTCATAGCTTCTTAGCTCTACACCGGGCCTAACCCCTAAACCCCTAAACCCTAAACCCCTAAACCCTAAATCCCTCAACCCTAAACCCTAAACCCCTAAACCCCTAAACCCTAAATCCCTAAACCTAAACCCCTAAACCCCCCAATTCCTTAACCCTTATAAAACTTCCAAAAAATCCCTAAACCCTACACCCCTAAACCTAAACCCCTAGACCCTATAGACCATGTTCCCTTCGAGTTCCTTGGCGAAGCCAAGGCTTTGAGTTCCGCGCTGTTGGTTCCTCTCAGAACTGCTGCTTGCAGCTGGGCCGCAGAATTCTGCAAGCCGTGCTGTTGATGTCATAGGAGGCCAAAAGGGGTTTTAGTGTATGGGAGTTTAGTAGGGATTAGGGTTCCCATAATAGGGTCCAAGAATCTTAAACACCCGTTTTGGCCTCCCATCATGATGGGGTGTAAGCGTTTGGGTCTAGGGCTTGGGGCGTGTAGTATTGAGGCTTGAAGGGCGTAGGGTGAAACCAGTCGGATTGTCATCTAGTTTCGTTCTGATTCTACAGTCGCTCAATATCTTGTTTTCGTTTAAAGGATGGCTGCTCCGAAACCCTAAACCCGAAACCATGCTTTCGTTTGGCTTGCAAGCTTCGTTGGTTCTCGTCTGGTTCTTGTGATGGTGTGTGTGGGTGGCCGCGGAAGCCTGAAGGGAGCCACTTAATGTATGGTTTAAGGTGTAGGGTTTAGGGTATACTATCTTGGGGGTTCGTTATTATATACAGTTAAAGTCGAATATCCCCCAAGACCCTGTTCTAATTATGAAGGCCCCTGTAGTACGTGTTCCGGTTTCGCAACTTGTCCTAAACATTGGTTCACTCTACCGGTAGGAGGCCCCTTAAGCCCTAAACCCTAAACTAAACGACAGCACGGCTCCTTAGCAAGGGACCTGAAAGGGGCAGTGGCGTCTCAGGGGGCCAAGGATGATCGAGTCCTCATCTTCAGGTACTCTAATTTAGAAAACTAATAAGGACCCAGATGTCTATGGAATACTTCAGGATACGCCTCCTTTTCTGGCATACACATCCGACTGTTGGTCAGAGTCTATAGGTGTGTGAACGTGTATGCCTGTATGTGACAATGTAAGTACATTCGTGTGCCCACGCCCGTGTGCACATGTGCGTATATGTATAGATATCCACAGATGCACCGCCGTGTGTTTGTGTGGGTATGTGCAGGTGGTTTAGATTCATTATATGGCCAAGTGTTGCGTTACGTGTTTTTATTGCACGCGTATTTGTGATTCCCTGGACAGGTATGCAAACGCATCTACAAAGTTAAACTTGCCCAAAGGCTCCATGTACCCATATAGTAGGTACTTTGGCCTTAAACGGGTCCCTATATGGGTACTGCAAGGCCTAAGTACCTACTATATGGCTACATGGAGCCTTTGGGTTAGAAAGCCTGACAGATTGAACCGACAGACCATCCCTGTTATGGTTTTTGGGAACCTAATTGCATAGTAGTAGTGTATATGCACCCTCTGGGGTTAAACTTAGACTAGGACCTGGAGTAGGCCCTTATTCCCTTTTTGTAGGGTTCAGGTTCCCTTATAAGCCCCTTTAAACCAAAAAGGGCACCCTTTTTATTCCCAGGTTACTCTTGGGTCTAGTAGAAAGCCTGACAGATTTTCAATCAATGCCGCAGTTATCATGTCATTGCTGCCTGAGCCGGGGCCCGAAACGCTCCAAAACCCTAAGAAGCCTAAACCCTAACCCTAAACTTAGGGGTACTTAGAAATAGTATTTAATTCTTGGTTCTTATTATAACCCCTAAGAAACAGCTAAAATTACATTTTTCCTAGGATTCTAAGGTCAGTATAGTAAACGCCGACCCGAAGCCGTCCTAAGTCCTAAGCTCCTACCGCTGAGCAACACGAACTCATGGTCTCAAAAGCCCCTTGCAGCCCGACAGCCCCAGCCAAAGCTAAAAGCCCTCTATACTGGGGTTTAGGGTTTAGGGTTTAGGGTTTAGGGTTATTATATACTCATCAAACTCCAAGCCCAAAACCCTAAGCCCCTACTAGGATGCACAGTAGTAGCCTTATTCCCTTTTTGTAGTCCTAGGTTTCTTAGAAAGTTACCCAATACCAAAAAGGGGGCCCTTGTTGTTCCTAGGTTACTGGACATCCTAGTTTAAACTCTAAGCTCTCGAGCTCCCTTACCCTCGTCCGAAAGCTGAAAGCCCACAGCATGCAGCCTTTCTGGCAGGGTTTAGAGTCTAGACCCAGAGCACTGAACCTGAAGCCTTTTTTTGAGTTTTAGGGCTTTTCGGGCTATGCTTCAGAGTTTCGGGGGTGGCTTTGAGGGTTTAGTAGAACCCACATATAGTCTGCACTGTAGTTCTTCTTTGAAACTACCTTTATAACATTGCCGAAGAAAGTTCCTTTCCTGGGGAACCTGATAAGATGCTAAACGCAAAAAGTCTTAAACCAAAAGAAGCAACGACGGTGGAGACTATAGGGAGGGCTTTTGTTCTGGGCGTAAGCTTCTACCTTAGCCTACCAAACCCTAGGTTTTTGTAGGTTCTGATGATAAATCCTCATATGGAATTTCTAGGGACCCTACAGGAAGGTAGGTTCTTGTAGGTTAAGGTAGGGCTGTTTAGGGTTTAGGGTTTAACCCTAAACCCTAAACCGTGCAAGATCTAGGGTTGCTTGGCTTTGAGGTTTCGGGCGGGTTCCAGGGCTTTAAGGCGACTGCCCGGTTGAGGGTTTAGGGTTTGGGGCTTAGGGTTTGGGGCTCAGGGTTTAGGGTTTGCAGGATTTAGGGTCGGGGCTCAGGGTTTAGGGTTTGGGGCTTAGGGTTTAGGGTTTGGGGCTTTGGGTTTACAGTTTAGAGTTTAGGGTATATAGTTTGTTATCTCGAAGCTACATCCTTGCAAAGGCCCATCGTTGAGAGTTAGGGATGAGGTCTGTTCAGCGGCCCATCATTAGGGCTTGTGGTTAAAGTCATAAAGCGGCATCCTGTCCTACAAAGGCCCATCATGGTCTGCAATGCCATCATGGCTGCCGGCATGTCGCAGCTTGCGGACCTTATCGAGGGTGGGCTTAGCCACAGGGACGCGGTTGCCAAGATGTTCAAGGAGCCGCTGCGAAGCCCTAAACCGCAAACCCCTCATTGAACTGCTAGACTAGGCCCCTAAACCCCTCAAGCTCTAAACCCCTAAAGCCAAGAATAGGTTAACAACTCAAGCCCTAAAGCCCTAACCCTAGACCCATGCCGGAGGGGTTTCTACTTTAAAGGGAACTCCAGAAAGTTGGAATATGGATTAATGGTAGGATCCCCTATAATTTACCTTAAAGGGGTTACGATATTGATATTCCAACTTTCTGGCTTCTACTGTAAACCCTAGAGTACCCTTATAGCAACCCTTTTCGATCGATTGTACCCTTTATAAAAGGAACCGCAAAAGCCTAAACGCCAAAGTGGGTTTCTACGTTAACATGAGGAGGCACCGTTTGCGCGACGCTTTGCATGATGACCTTGCGGGGTTTAGGGATTCAGGGTTACTTAAAGGATCATGGGATCCTTAAAGGGCCCCTCAAAGGGATCTATAGGGTTCCTTGAAGGGATCTAAGATCCATAGGGTTTAGTTTAGTGTTTAGGGTCTACTTAAAGGATCATGGGACTTAGTAAGTAGGTTATAACTGGGGTTATAAGTCCCCTAAGTGGGGTTATCCTAATTATAAGCTTCTTATAACCTTACTTACTAAGTCCCATGATCCTTTAAGTAGGGATTTCAGGGTTTTAGAATTCAGAGCGTGTCGAGGGCTCTGAGGTGCACCTCAACCTCCAAGCTTCAACCCTAAACCACAAACTAAAATAGCCCCAAACCCTAAACCTTCAGGGCTTTTTGCCTTAGGAGCTGAGTGGATACACTTTACAATTTTGGGGATAATATTACCTACTATAAAACTGGAAGTGTACACTTTTGGGGGGGGGGCTTATGAACTCAGATGCTAAGTTGCCCTATCCTGAAGCTTTCGGCTGACCAGGAGAACAAGCACGTGATCTTCACGGGCAATGGGTACTCTGACGAATGGAAGACCGAAGCCGGGAAGCGAGGTCGGCCCGGAATTTAAGTTTGTTGGGTTCTGAAAACAGGGTTTAGGGCTTTAGGGGTTTGGGGCTTTAGGGGTTTAGGCTTTTAGGGTTTTAGGGGTTTAGGGTTTGAGGGTTTCGGGTGTCTAGGGTTTTAGGTTTAGGCCAGGGTGTAAGGTTTAGGTTTTGGGGTTTCGCATCCGAAAAGGATCCTGTTCTTTAGAACCCTTCTCCATCGATGCCTGTTCTCTGTAAGGCTTTTGAGCTTCCGGTTGACGGCTCATGGGGCACTGGGCTGCAGGCTTTGGGGTTTGGGCTGCAAGGTGCTGACGATCCAGCTATTGGAGCCACAGGATGTTCTTTCTGGAGAAACCCTAGGACCTAGAGTAGGCCCTTATTACCGTTTTTTAGGTTTCAGATTCCCTTATAAGCCCCTTTAAACCAAAAAGGGCACCCTCTTTATTCCTAGGTTACTCTTGGGTCCAGAACCTCAGAGAGAGCCAGCGGTGTAGTCCACGGATGTACGATTGAGCAGCGCAGCATCGATGAGATAGGTTTGACACTGAAGCCTTACCCTTATTCCCTCTTTGTAGTCCTGAGTTCCTTATAAAGTTGCCCAATACCAAAAAGGTAATGGCCAGTACAAGTCCTTTAGGATCCTATTATGATCATAGGAGTACCCAGAGGCTCCATAGTAGTTCCTTGTTGGGATTACCTTATAGGATTCTGAATACGAACCCCCAAAAAGGAACTACTATGGGACCCATTAGTCTGCACCCCGCCAAAATCCCAGTCTCACGATGAAGGCCCTGTGTTTGGCCCCGGGTTTCTCGACTCCGGAATCGGATGCCAGCGGTATTGGGCTCGGTATGTAAGGTTGATTTGGATACTGTCCGCACTCAGCAGCAGGTGGATAATATTCATAATACAGGTATATAAGTCGGACCTTAATACTAGCCCTCTTATAGACTGTTACTGTAGTGAGGGCTCGGTATGTCAGGTGCATTAGGTGCTGCTTGGGTAGTTTAAAGAGTAGGTGCCGTATCATATTAAGGACCCACAAAGGGACCCTCATTTTGACAACCCCCCACATGGTGGTGTACAGGTGCCTACGCATGAGTAACTTTCGGAGCCCTCACAGTACTTAGAGGATCATGGGACTTAGTAAGTAGGGTTATAAGTACCTTAATTGGGGTTATAAGTAGACTCCAATACCCAACCTTTAGTGTTTCAGTGTGCTTACCCGAGGATTCACAAGTAGCATACTTACTTTGGTGTTTAAAGCCTACAGACTACAACTACTACTTACGCTGGCCTAGTTGGAGTCTTTGGGGATTCTTTTGGTGCTAGTCTGATTTTGGGGCATGTAATTCCCTCGGTCTAGGGGGAAGTAGGTCGCCATGTCTGAAGGATAAAGAATGCAGCGCCCGGAGTAGTGGTCCCAACTCCCCAAACAACGATTATATGCTGGATCCTAACATGTAGATCCTCAAGAGGAAGGCGAAAGGTGCTTGCATCATACCTAAGAGCCATTGTAGAACCCCATACAGCCCAAGACTGTCAAGGGTTTCTAGAGTTTGGGGTTTTTGGGCCTAGGTTTCAAGTTTTCCGTTCGAAGCTTCAGAGGTTTAAGGCTTCAGGGTTTCCTTTACAGAAGGAGTGTGCAGGCAGAAGACTCCAAGACCCGAAAACCCTTTGCATGTGAACCTCTAATCTCTGAGCCCTCAAAAGCTTTGGTAGTTTCGGGTGTAGGCGGAGGGTTCTGAACAATTAGACGTATTGTCCTCTTTGGTCACTTCATACCAGACACTACCCACGACCCCATTTGCATGGTTAAGGCCCCCTAGATCAGCATTTGCTTGCCAGGACTGCCAAACCTGAACACGTGGCTGGGCTCTTCTGTGGTTTAGATGTTGGCGTGTAGGGTTGAGTCATTCCCACGCTGCTAGTGTTGATAACATCGAGGGCTCATGGGTCGGTGGTGCTGAGAACGGCGACGGCTTTTGGGCCGGGGGTCTAGACGCAGCTTGCGCACGGTAGGATGTCTCAAAACTTTTGAGTGACACTGGGAAGCTTTGTTGCGTTTCTTGAGCCCGAGCCTCTGCAGCAATCACCACATTTCTCAAGCAGAAGAAACCTCACTCGGCAACGTGGAGGACATGATATGCAGAATGCACGTGTCTAGTCGGAGGGGGTACGCAGAGGATGGTCACCACAGAGTAGTCTCCTAAATCCGTGAAGCCTCAAAAACGCCTCAAAAGCCTAAACCCTAAAGCCCTAAAGCCCGAAAGCTCTAAAACCCCCCCCCCCCCCCCGGCCGTCGACCTGAAACCCGACGGATCCTCCAACCCTGAACTCGAAACCCGCAGCTCCAAACCACCCACACCACCCCAAATCCTGAACACCAAATTCCCAACCACACCGTTGAATTCAACGCCCTAGAGCCCAAACGCCCCCAAAACCAAAGCCCTCGAAATCCCTCCCCCCCAACCACAAGTCCCAAAACCCCCCAACACCCAGGACGCCAAAGGCCTTGGCAACCTGGAGCAGCGACAAGAACAAGGCCCTCTTCGAAAAGCTGAGTCCCGGCGTTTCAAGTTCTTCTGTTTACGATATGGGGTTCTATGTCAGTCCCCCCATGTGTTTGTGTGTGTGTGTGCCGAGAACATATTGATATCATGTAACGTAGCTTGTTCTGTAATGTAGTGCGGTGCAATGCTGTGCAGTGCAGTGCAGTGCAAGCCGTAAGTTCTAGCCCTATACCCAAACTCTAAGCTCTACTCACCCTGCTGAAGCCCTGAAGCGCTGCAGCAAGCCCGACATTGCTATCCCTCTGGATGCCTCTGATTCGCAGTACCCCTTAACGTGCACCTCTCTCATAAGTAGCCAGGGCTGTTGGCGTGTATTGAAACTTTTCAATTTGCACAGGGCCTCTATAACCCCCAAGGCCTCAGCCCGAAATCGAGACCACGATTTCTAAGCCCCAAGCTACACGAAGCCGCGACTCTAAGCCCTAAGCCCGGGACTCCTTCCTTAAAAAGGCTATATAACTTAGCTCTCCAATACCCAACCTTTATAAACTTTTTTGGGTTTATAGATTTTAGTAGTAATCTGAAAGTTTAACCTTTTATTTCCCTGGCTTATTGGGGAAGTAAGAGAATGGGTAGAAAATGGCTATATGAACGGTATATACCTACGATGGGCAGCTGTAAAACCACAGCCCGAAGCACAACTTTAAACGCCAAGCCCACCGTAAGCTCCAGTCGAAGCTTAAACCCAACTTAGCAACCTCGGAAGCCCCCCCCCCCCCCCAGTCGAATCGGGGAGGGGTCGGTCAGGGGCCTCAAAAGGTATCATGAAGGTTGGTGGAGGAATCCCAAATAAGAGTAGTGATATAAGGGATCCTGCATCCTACTTACCTTCATCCCACCTACCCTACACCCTAAACCCAAAACCCTAAACCCAAAACCCTAAACCCTGAGCCCTAAACCCAAAACCCTAAACCCAAAACCCTAAACCCTAAACCCCTAAACCCTAGGCCTCCCAGTCTGGGGTTGCAGTTGGGTTTAGAGTTTGGGGTCCAGGTTGCGGGGGTTGAGGAGTTGCAGTTTAGGGTCTCGGGTTAGGCATTACTTGGTAGCTGAGTGGATACGCTTTACACTTTGGGGGATAATTTTACGCACTATAAAACTGAAAGTGTACACTTTTGGGGGGGCTTATGAACTCAGCCGCTAAGATTAAACTGTGGCAGAGTACATTATTAATATAATATATTAGTCGTATTGTTCCTAGCGTGGTTTTGTTTTAAATATGTTTCATGTTCATTGTCATTGCCATGATTCTATAACTATACTTATTGTATTTAACATTATCATCATAGTTCGTATTGCTTTCATTATTACTATCACTCTTTTCAGTATTCTCTTAGCTCTCCAATACCCAACCTTTAAACTTTTTGGGTTTATAGATTTTAGTAGTAATCGGAAAGTTTATCCTTTTATTTCCCTGGCTTATTGGGGAAGTAAGTTCTTAAGCCGAGGAAGATCTACAGCAAGGAGGAGACGTCTGCACGACAGGAGGCCTCGTTCTGCTTCATGGGTAGTTGTCAAAATTAAGATCCCTTTGTTTGGGCACCCTAAATAATAGGTGCCGTATTATTATAGGGACCAACAAAAAGGGACCATAATCTTGACAACCACCCTCATGGTGTTTAGGACTTACTTCTTGGGGCTTTAGGGTTTAGGCCTTACTTCTTGGGGTTTAGGGTTTAGGACTTACTTCTTACGCTTTAGGGTCTAGGACTTGCTTCTTAGGGTTTAGGGTGTAGGGCTTACGTGTTGGGGTTTGTGAATTAGGGTTTAGGGCTTACTTGCTGATGTTTGGGATTTAGGGTTAAGCATTTAGGGTTTCGGGTGCCGGGTATGTTAAGGGCTTGCAGGCCACGTAATTTGTGGGAGCCTGATCGCAAGACTCTGAACTTTGAGTTGTGAGGTGATGTATGAGAACTACGTCACCTGCCTGAGCATCGAAGTTCAGACGATGTTGCTTGGAAGCCGTGTGTAGGGCTCCGGGTTGAAAGGGGGGGGGTCCCTTCATTCCTTTACCCTACAATATGAAGAGAGTGGAACGTGGGAAATTCAATGAAGAAAAACAATTGGAGTGCGTGTTGTCTTTATTTAATTCACACGAGCCACGAACCCAGGATTTAAGCTTATGATTCATTTGTAATATCCTAGTACTAAATCTTAGGTCATTCTCTACATCTATAATCGAATCTAGTATCTTATCATTTATTGCCGCTTTTAGTTGTAGAATCCTGGAAATTTGGAGCCGCTGTGAGGATATGATGAATGAAGAAAGACAAATGACAATAACGTAGTGAATGTAATGCGTTCTGTCTTTCATCATTTCGCACGCGGTTCGTTCTCATTTTTAGTTATTCCATTCTGACTAGAACTTATTAATCTTTGGAATACAACTATTTTCTAGATATCATATCCTTCTTACCTCTTTCTCTTTGTCTTCTGCCTACCTTCGTTCACTCCTCATGATTCCGTTCCTTTTCGTAGGTTTTGGGGTTTAGGACGGGGGGTCATTTTACTATGTTTTGTCAGGATGCTCAAGGTTTTGGGGGTTCTTTACCACCACAATTTCGCATGGCAAGTGGGCGTGACGGTACAAGTAGGGGCCTGAACACATATCGGTACTATTCCTCAGAGAGTTCCTTACTTTCATTACAGTTACATAGACCCCCGAAAGCCTATTGTAGTACAGTTTCATAGACTTAATAATATTTTAGTGGAGACATTATATAAGATCTACCACATATTATTAGTTGTATAGGTTTAAGTTCGCGGATACCATTTCCATTTCCTAACAACTATTGAGGCCCCAAGATTAGGGGCGTGGGTGTAGGGAGACCCATGTGGCTGACGCTTTGAATCCGGCCGAGGATTCAGATGGTCGAGACGGCCATTCTGCCCGCCTGTGTCAAGGCCTCACAAGGGGAGATATAAATGGGTTTTCGGGTTTTGGACATTATGGTGTTGGGTTCTCAGGGTGTGGGACAGTGTAGGATTAGATGAAGGGGTTTAGGGTTTGGTTGAGGGGTTTTGAGTATACGCCTGTTGCGAGGATGGGGGCAGGTTCTGACGAATCTGCTTCGGGTTTGCCGACCTCCAACCCTGGACCTTAAACCCTACGAATCCCAAACCCAAGACTTTAAACCCTAAAACCCTAAAACCTTAAGCCCGGAATACTCCCTAAACTGTCAACCCTCCCCTCACTGCGATGTAGTCGCCTTTGCATGCCGAACGACGACGACCCTAGCGTTAAGATTGTTGCGAAAGCACGTGAGGAGACAGTTAAGATTCAGAGTTTAGGTTTAAGGCTATCAAGCTTTATGGTTTAGAAGGTTAGGCGCGTGAAGTCAGTATAGGGTTCGGGGGCGAGGGTTTAAGACTATTCGGGTTTGGGGTTTAGTTGCAGGAGATATCGCCATGCACAGTGAGGCACGACAGCCATTGAAGTGATACAAGAGTAGCATAAGAATGCACACACCCCAGCACATAATGTAGGGGCCTTAATAATTAGAATAGGGTTTTGGGAGTATATATACTATAAATGTCCATAACTATTTACAAGTAGAATCTTGTGAATCCCGGACTTCAGAAAGACCTTAAACCCTAAACACTCCACCCTGAACCCTTATTTCCTCAACCCTAAACCTTAAACCCTCAACCCTGAACCCTAAACCCTCAACCCTAAACCTTAAACCCTCAACCCTTAGCCCTAAACCCTAAACCTCAACCTTGGAACCCCCTATCCCGAAGCCTGCAGGACCTCAAAAAGACGGAGACCCTGCCCAACAAGAAGTACGCTCCTCCGAGGAAGGCAGCGCAGCATGGCGGCAAACTTAGAAAAAGCGACCACTCACATGGGAGTTTCCAAAAATTGGGGGTACCTTATTTTGGGGGTCCCCATAATAAAGATCCTACTTTTTAGGGTACTATTTTAGGGTCCCCTAATTTAGAAAGCTCCCACATCTCCGTCTGGTCGGCTCAGGCGTCAACAACCCATTTCCAACCCGAAACCCTCAACATGCAATGAGGGTTGGGGCTTGGGAATTAAGCAGGCTTGCTTCTTCAGCGCCAGACATTCCCATGCCTTTGGCAAGGGATGCCTGGCCCATTCACAGCCAACCCTCGCGGGATGCCATGTAGGATGATGGAGGACTGTCCTGCCAGAGGCATGAAGGCTCAAGGCATCTGCGATGCAGGGTTTAGGATTCTGGCACTCCAGTAGGGGAGGATGGCGGCATCATAGAACCTGCTTCATTGGTTCCTTGACGAATTATTGTGCAAGCTCACAAAAACCGATTTAAAATTATGACCTACATTTAAAGCCTTGTAGTAGCCCTTGTAGTATCCTCATTACACGAACCCAGGTCTACTCAGTAAAGCCCTTATACTGGTTCATGCTTAGGGTTTAGGGTTTAGGGTTGCACTACCAGGAGCTTTCGGTTTTAGGGCTTAGGGATTAAGGGAACCCCTACCGCCTAAACGGCTAAAGCCGAAGCCCTCAACGACATTAGCCCTGAACTCTGTAGCCCAAGCCCCGAAACCCTAAGCCCTTACATAGTGAACGGGGGAACGTTAAGCTTTCTGGCCTTGTATGTTAGCTCTATGATACAAAGTTTGAACTTTTTGGGGGCCGGTTGTGGAAGAAGAGAGCCTAAGCCCCGAAACCCAAACACGAAACCCTAAACTCTAAGCCCCGAAGCCCTAAACCCTAAGCCCTGAACCCTAAACCCTACGCACCGAACCCTAAGCCCTGAGCCCCGAAAACCTCAAAACAACCCCTTCAACTGGTGGTTTTGGAGCTGCCTATCTCCATTTACCTCCATCAGGATACCAGGGTTTGATGTTACAACTACAGTACCTGCTCAGTTCATCATTATATAACATGATATAACCTGATATGATATAATCTGAATAGTCTAGTATGGTATGATATTAGCTACAATCTCAACCCATTGTTAGACCATCAATACCACTTAGAGCTCAATCGTCGTCTTATCTCGTGGGGAGGGGCTTTCGGGGTCTAGCGGTCGGGTTTGGGGATGAGTGGTTGGCTTCCAGGAGCAAGCGAGGGCAGCGGGGTTGGTCTACCGGAAGGTGGGGTTTACGGGTTAAGGATTAAAGGAGAGGGTGGTAAAATCCTCCTGGTCCAGATGCTAAGTAGCCTCAGAGACTAAGCTCCTAAACTTGGAAAGCGGACACTAGATCCCGAACTTCATGATCATACCCTCTATGTGGTCCTTCATGACCTGCCCTAAAGACCCAGCTAATCCTGCGGCACCAATCATACCACAGTGCTCAGGTACGAGGCCATCGCAGACGAGCTAGAGTGGCCTGGATGCGAGGGTTTGATGCGAACACCAAGGTAGAAGGTTTTTGAGCCTAAGGTTTCAATGCTTTAGGGTATACGGATTCTACGCAGCGCTTTTCCATCCCCCAAGACAACATAAGCAATAAACCCTTCCACAACCCTGTATAACGTGAACAAACTACGTACCTAAACCCTAACCATGCCAAAGCAAGAGTCTTGCTGCACGATAAGAGACAGCATGAACTAATATCGGCAAGCACAGACACGTTCTAGCCCATTTTGTGGACTTTGTATCAAACCCCAAAGGCCATCTAAAAACCTAGTGTAACCCAACAGCGGCCTATGAACACCCATCAAACGCCTGAACAAACTCTCGACCAAAGCATGTCATCTAGAAATTCAAACACCTAAACCCTAAATCTGCTAAACCCTCTAGACCATTCTTGAGATCCACAAAAAGGCTCCGATTTTCTTCCGAGGAAGCTTCGGGTCACCTTCGACAAGATGCCGCACGGCGCCCTGGACAAGGAGTCGTTGAGGGCTTAGGATTTAGGCTTTCGGGTTAGCGAGTAAGTAGGGCTTGGGGTTTAGGGGTATAGAGTGAAGATTTTCGGGTTCTGGGGCTTTTAAACCCGCAGCCCTATGCTCATGATGAAGTCCCTTTTTCTAGGATGCCCGGTAGTACCCTTAAATTCCATTTTTGTAGTCCTAGGTTCCGTATAAAGTTACCCAATACCAAAAAGGGAGCCCTGTTTATTTCTAGGTTACTGGGCATCCTCGTTTTTGATAGCCACACACCCTAATCCCTCAACCCTAAACCCCTAAACCCTAAGCCCTAAACCCCTAAACCCTAAGCCCTAAACCTCTAACCCCTAAACCCTAACCCCTAAACCCCTGAACCCTAAACCCTAAACCCCTAAACGCTAAACCCCTCAAAACCCCTAAACCCCCAAGCCCTAAACCCCTAAACCCCTGAACCCTAAACCCCTAAACCCCTAAACCCTAAACCCCTAAAACCCTAAACACCTAAACCCCTGAACCCTAAGCCCCTAAACTCTAAACACCTAAACCCCTGAACCCTAAGCCCCTAAACTCTAAACCCCTAAACCCTGGACCCCTAAGCCCCTAAACCCTAAACCCCTAAACCCTGAACCCTTAAAACCCTAAACCCCTAAACCCCTAAACCCTAAACCATAAGCCCTAAACCATCAGCCCTAAACCCTCAACCCTAAACCCCCCCCTAAGCCCCTAAACGAATGAAGCTTGAAACCTGAAGACCTGCCCTGAGTCCTTCACCCTCGAGGCCCCCCAAAACACCCGAAACCCAAATCCTTAAAGGGCCCTTCAAAGGGATCTATAGGGTTCCTTAAAGGGATCTCTAGGGTTCCTAAAAGGGATCTATAGGGTTTAGTTTAGGGTTTAGGGTCTACTTGGAGGATCATGGGACTTAGTAAGTAGGCATTTAAGTACCTTATTAATTGCGGCTATAGGTAGAAATAGCCATAGTTACCTCACTTATAACCCTACTTACTAAGTCCCATGGTCTGCAGAGTGCGGGAGGTAGGGCCCGTGCCTCTTCGGCAGACAGGTAGCCCAAACCTTAGGGGTACTTAGAGACAATCTTTAAGTTTTTGGTTATTATCATCCCTAAGAAACAGCTAAAATTCTAATGTTTGCTAGGGTTCTAAGTTCAGTATAGAAGCAGCTAAAATTCTAATTCTTGCTAGGGTTCTAAGTTCAGAACAGAAGCCCTGGCGATTGATACAGAAAGGTCTTACGGGGCCTTGAGGCTTCGGGGCCTTATCGCTCTTCAGGGTTTAGGGTTTAGGGTTCAGTTGTTTAGGGGTTTAGGGGTTTAGGGGTTTAAGGTTTAGGGGTTAGGGTTTAGGGTTTAGGGGTTTAAGGTTTAGGGGTTAGGGTTTAGGGGTTAGGGTTTGGGGGATTGCGGCGTTAAGGGTTTACGGTTAGGTGGTTTAGGGCGTTTCGTGGAACCAAATGCCTCGCACATCATGCAGGAGTCCACGTACCTCTGTGACACGGTCAAGCCTCGCATGGTGGCCTTGAGACAGGCTGGGCTGCAAGACTTAGCTGGATACCGAATCCTATTAGTAGAGTAGGTAACCTTTAACCATTTTTGGGTAGTATAGTCCCTACGTAGTCCCTATATAACGAAAAAGGTTAACCTTTTTAGTTCCCCATAATACCAGACAAGTGGGAATTCTGAAGCGCGAAACGGGCCCTAAGCCCCAAAATCCCCGGCCGGTGAATCTAAGAGAAGTCCCTAAGCACGTCAACCCGTAGCCGCGGTGCATCAGCGCCGAATTTGAACTCCGAAGGTGTACTGCAATGGGCATCAGCTCGGCAGCTATTTAAGCGAATACAGAAGCCGGAATCATTCCCGATTAGTAGTAATATAATTCCTTAAAGAGGGTTCTTTATGCTGTAGTGGTTCTGTATGTTATTCTCCCAAACCCTATTGAAAGTGTTAAGGCAACGGGGTCAGAGGGGGTTACAAAGCCCGAAGTGTCTTTCAGATACTCCGTGACATCCTTATCACTGCCCTTCTGAGCTTGTTTGCTACAAGAGCCTAAACCAGTGCCTACCGAGCCTTTATGAATCAGAAAAGCCTTATTCAGTATTCAGTGTCTCAAAGTTTGGGATCCATGACGGTGCCTTTCTGACACCGACCGAACTTGGTGTTTTGGCAGAAGGTGGCCACATGTGTGTGAAGCTCGAAGCAATGGTAACCCCATGCTTGTTGGTCGGCGCCCAATGAAGGTACTTATAACCTTACTAAGTCCCTCGATCCTTTTTAAGTAGACCCTAAACCCATACATCCCTTTAAGGAACCCTATAGATCCCTGTAAAGAGCCCTTTAAGGACCCCTACTAAGTCCCATGATCATCCAAGTAGACTTGCCAAATGCTTCTGAGCAAACAGTCGGGCATGTTATTGCAAGCGGCAAGCTCCATGGCATTGGGTGCGCCCAGAGAAAAGTCGTTCGATGTGGCCCAACGAGATTTTTACCAGTGCCTACGGCTCGGAGCAACCGGTGCAGCAACATCAAGCACAACTTCCTGGATCAAGTGTGTACCCTAAACCCTAAACCCTAAACCCTAAACCCTAAACCCCTAAACCCCTAAACCCTAAACCCTAAACCCTAAACCCCTAAACCCTAAACCCTAAACCCTAATCGCAGGCCAGCCCGGCAGGCCCTTCTTAAGCCCACGTTCCCACACTCAAGCCCTGGATCTGAGGCCGAAACCAGGCGGTTCAGTGGTAAAAGGGTTTAGGGGTTAGGGGTTTAGGGGTTTAGGGTTTAGGGGTTTAGGGGTTTAGGGTTTAGGGGTTTAGGGTTTAGGGGTTTAGGGTTTAGGGGTTAGGGTTTAGGGGTTTAGGGTTTTTACTTTCAGGTTTCTGGCCTGGGTTCCTATTATAAAATAAGCAGCCAAAAAAGTATCTACTTTTTCCTAGTGGGTTAATGAACGGCCTAGGAAAGACTGCACAGAGAGGGTCCCCGTAGCCAGATACGTAGGGTCTTAGGGGTTTAGGTTTTTAGGGTTTATAGGGTTTGGGGTTCTATAGGGGTTTAGGGTTTAACTAGGGTTTTAGGGTTCTAGGGTTCTAGGGTTTAGGGTTTAGGGTTCAAAATCCATACCCTGAATGGTCCTTGGTCCTTGAAACCCTATCGGTACCCTCCATCTGCACAGAGAGAGAGAGAGAGAGAAGGATTGCACGAAGGGATGACGGTAACCATTCCTCTGTCCCGGTATTTCCGCACGCGCTCTTAGCAAAGACGGTCCCTGCCCAAGAAGCATCTCGACTGAGCACAGCAAAGAACAGCATCAACACAACGGCTCGTAGGCAGAAAGCGAACACCGCGACTCACTCAGAGGAATCACGGACAGTCCAGCACAGAGCAGATAAAGCTTAAACCAAAAAAACTCCTAAAGCCCTACACGCCTAAACTCCTAAGCTTCAAGCCCTAAGCCGTAAAAAACTGTAGGGCCTACACTAAACCCTAATGATTTCTTTAAAAAAAAAAACAAGCTTCCGAAAGAAGTCTTTCAGCAGGCAGTGGACAAGGCAGAGTCTCTGATGGAGAAAGGCCGCGGGGGCAAGAGCTCTGGGTTTCAAAAACAAAGAAGGATCGATTGCGCGAAAAAAGGGTCCTAGGTACTCTTATGGGGGATACTTCCCGAACTCATACTAGTAATCCCTAATTCAGACGCCCTACATTCTACTATAAAGGTACTTTGGACCCTTTGGATTGATAATTACCAATACTGTTTTGGGGGTTCCCTATTATACTTACAGTGAAGAGCTCAGGGTTTAATATAGGAAATTGGGTTTTATAGGATTGAGGGTTTCAGGTCTGCGACACCGCGAAAAGGTGCCAAGGCCTTGGCGTCGTGGTCTCTGTGACCAGTGGTACCGGGTGGGACAAGATGATGGTGACCGCGGGGAAGAAGACACAGGCGGGGCACTTTGCCGCCCTGGTCGAGGAGGCCAGTTAACCCTAAACCCCTAAACCCTAAAACTCTAAACCCTAAAACTCTAAACCCTAAACCCTAAACCCCTGAACCCTGAACCCCTAAACCCTAAAACTCTGAACTCTAAGCCCTAAACCCTAAACCCCTAAACCCTAAATCCTAAAATTGTAAACTCCAAACCGACATCTGGTGCCGGAGCGCCCGGGCTCCGTGGCCCCAAGGTCGCCTCGAAGCTGCTCGCACTCCTTGAGAGTGCCGTACCCAAACCCCCGGGAGGATCTAGAAAGTAGATCCCTTTATGGGGGTTCCTACAAAGTACCCTTAGTAGTACAGGGCCCCAAATTAGGGGATCTACTTTCTAGATCCTCCCGGGGGTTTGGGGTAGCGACGTGGAGGCCATCCAGCGGGCCAACTCCTGCTTGGAGGCTGCCCTGGCGAAGATGATCGCGGGCATTCCTTACGGGACTTTTCCGTATATAATATCCCTGGGGCTCCAAATAGCCCAAAGTAGGTCATATTTATAGACTTTAGAGCCCAAAGTAGGTACTATTTGTATACTTGGAGCCCTAGAGTATGAAGGATCCTAGTACGTGGGCAAGGGGCTCAAGGGCTATAGTGAGGTCCTGCCCCCGCCCCGAAAGGCTACTTACCGAAACAAAAAAAGGTTCTGTAGTACCTTTTGCCTTTTTTGGCATTCCGTCATACTTAAGACCAAGGAGTAGGCGAAAGGGTACCGTATGATAAACCTAAGCCCTTAGCCTAAATCAAAAGGTTGTTTACCCAAGGCAGAATGGGAGTTTCCGAAAGTAAGGGGTACCTTACTTGGGGTCCTTACAATAAGGATCCTACTATTCAGGGTACTATATGTATTAGGGTACTATATCGGAAACTCCCAAATCTCTCCCAACTTCATGATCGCAAACCCGAGATCGAGGCATTGAGTTCCGCATGGAATCCTTGGGTTCAGACCCATCTCATAGGCACCTTAACGGATGCCCAGTAGTACCCTTATTCCCTTTTTGTGGCCCTAGATTCCGTATAAAGTTACCTAATACCAAAATAGGGAGCCCTTTTTATTCCTAGGTTACTGGGCGTCCTAGTTAATGATTGGTAAAGGTGTTCGGGGTATAGTAGAGTAGGGTAGAGTAGAATAGAGTAGTACTATAGGTATGACGAATAATGTCCTAGCAGTAGAGTAGGTAACCTTTAACCTTTTTGGGGTAGTATAGTCCCTATATAATCCCTATATAACCAAAAAGGTTAACCTTTAGTGCCCCATGATACCCGACAAGTAGGATGTGGGTCACCCTTTAGGCTTCTATACTAGGGTTTAGGGTATAGGGTGCAAGGGTTTTCAGGTTCAGACACCAGAGCTCAAGGTTTAGACCATCCATTATTTCTGGGGGTTTGAACAATTAGTCAGGGTATCTCTTTGCAGTCCTTAGATCTGTGGATAAGTATACCCTCTTCTAATTATTCAGCCCCTTTTCTAACTCCCAATGGGGCCCTATGAACCCGCTGAGCAACCATATTGAAAGTACAAAGACCTTTAACCCTAAACCCTACACCGCTTTACACTAGGGGAGGGCAGATCGCATGCACGCCAAACCAAGGGTTTTGGGGATAAACCCTATAGACCCTATTATGGGAGTTTCCGAAAAATTGGAGGTACCTTGTTTTGTGGTCGTTATACGTAATATGGATCCTATTATTTAGGTTACTCTATTAGGGTTTCTATTTTCGGAAACTCCCTTCTGAGCCCTTAACCCTTAGAGGGGTTCGTGGTTTAGGGGCCGTCGGGAGGCAGCTATCCTTTCCCGACGTACGAAGAGCTCCTCTACTCCCACCACTTCGATGAGAGCTTTGACAAGTGAGCTTCGAAAGAAGCAGCCTGATTTTTGTCAGCATCGGCTTTCGCGTTACCCTAAACCCCAAACCCAAGCCGCACGCTAAACGCTAAACCTTAAACCCTACGAAACCTCGAACACTCGCCCCCTAAGCCCTTCAAGCATCTTCAAGCTTAGAGCCTCAACCGCCGCCCCGCTCTCCCTGACGACTTGACCTTGAGGGAACGCTATTGTTTAAGGTGCTTCTGGCGTACTATAGGGGCCTTTTAATTGCCTATACTATTTTGGGGGTTCCTTGTTTTGATGGGCCCCAAAACCCTAGTCTAGTCAGCGCCCCTATGTTTCTTAAGGTATTGCCGGCTAGAGTTGTGCAGTAGGGACCCACTGGCATGATGGGTTAAAGATTCACCCTAGACCCTAAACTCTAAAGCCTAAACTCTAAACACTAAACCCTAAACACTAAACCCTAAGCCCTAAACTCTCAACCCTAAACCCCAAACCCTAAACCCTAAACCCTAAACTCTAAAGGGTTTCAGAGCTTGCGGAGCTCTGGGTGTAAATATAGGGTTTGGGAGTTCCACGGGGCTGGGATTAGGGGTTTAGGGTTTAGGGGATTTTTGCAATTAGGATTTTGGGTTTAAGGCCGGATTTCAGGATTTAGAGTTTTGTGCGGTTTCGGGATTTTGGGTCTCAGGTGTCTTTCGTTTCGCGCATTCAGGGCGTTTCGGGGTGGTGAGTTAAGGGTTTAGGATTCCGGACCCACCAACATACAATATCGACAACATCGTGGGCTAAATACGTTTAGTATAGTATAATTTGTTTTCTGGGGTTCTTGATTATCGTGCTGCTATAGTATATCCCAAACCTTCTTCGAGTCATAAGTGCTGCTAGAGTAAACCCTACACCCTAAAGCTATTCAGACGCAGGTTGGCCAGGGTTTCCTAAACCCTAAACCCTGAACCCTACCCTAAACCCTAAACCGCTAAACCCTAAACTCTGAACCCTAAACTCTAAACCCTAAACCGCTAAACCCTAAGCCCTGAACCCTGCCTTCACCCGGAAGAACCTAGGTGTTTTTGGACTAAGCCCAGGGCTTTTGCCCCACCGTTCCAAGCGCCACAAGCCATCAAGATCCCTCCGTGTTTGAGGGGCCCAAAAAGCACATAAGCATAAGCATTTTATAGGAATAGCCCTACCTTATTGGGCTTCATGATAGGGGGGTTTATATGGGATATCCCTGTCCTTCTTTTTGCTTCTGTGCTTTTGGGGGGCCCTAGTGTTGAGCAAAAAGCCCTAGACCCCTAATCTTAGGGGTACATAGAAATACTTTTTAACTTTTTGGCTAGGACCCAGAGTAGGCCCTTATTCCCTTTTTTAGGGTTTAGGTTCCCTTATAAGCCCCCTTTAACCCAAAAAGGGCACCCTTTTTATTCCTGGGTTACTCTTGGGTCTAGTTGGTTATTATAACCCCTACAGCTAAAATTGTAATTTTTTGCTAAGTTCTGTATAGTAATGTGGGACCTGGTTTAGAAACCTCAGGGCCTTTATAAGGGTTCTAGAAGGGTTCCTTGAAAGGGTACCAAAGGGCACCAAAGGGTTCTGGGGGTTTGATGTAGGAACCTGATTAAGAAAACTTGGGCCTTTATTCGGGTTCCGTATGTTTGAATCCTACTATTTTGGGGTTATAGACTCAAGGTGTCTTAATCAAGTTCCTACACTAATCAACCCTAAACCCTAAACCCCTAAACCCTAAACCCCTAAACCCTAAACTCCTAAACCCCTAAACCCTAAGCCCTAAACCCTAAAACTGCAACCGAGGCCCCCCACCCACCCATCGCTTTTCACTTCAGTAGAGTTTTGAACCAGTAGCTCCACAGTGCCGAAGGTGTGCTGTATGGAGGCCAAGCGTCAGATGAGTCTGGGCCACCAAAACCTTGTAGCTAATCAGTGGTGCTTTCCCCATGTAGCCCTGAAGAGGTTCTACTTTGATGAAAAGATAGCGGAGGGTTTTGGGGTGCATTGCTATCTGACTTACGGTTTTGATTAGGAGTAGGGCTACTTAGGGGTAGTGGTACTGCTAGGGGTAGGGGTAGGAGGGCACCACCCCCTCGACCAACTACACTTGATCTACACCTGGGTAGGCGCACCTGCGATTTGCACGCTATCCACGCTGCCATCACTATCCTGCCGTATTTGCTTCACGAGGATCTGCTGGTGCTGGTGCTGGTTGGGGTTGTAGAGTATGTACTATATTATATGCTATAGAAAGTCTCAGGCCCACACTTATTTCGATCATCAGTATTACTGTCGTTGTTCTTCTTCTAACTGTCATTTATTTTTTTGGATTATGATTATTAAGACGACGACTATGAATTAGTGTTCCTTATATGATTTTCATACGCAGCTAGCCTGGAGGTCCAACGCTGAACCCAAAGCTCACAGATCGCCGTGCCTCGCCGTACTGCGGGCGGGGGGCATGGCCCAGACTGCGTGCAGGAATAGGGTGGAGCTTGATTCCTGTACAAAGTGAACGCCCGAGTTGCTGGGGTCCTGAACTCTCAGTGTCAGGGTGTGCGATATTCGCCCTAAACCCTAAACCCTTCCAGCTTGAAGCCCTTGACCCACAAAACACGTTAACCCTGATCCCGAAGGACCTCCGCTCTCCGGCTACAGGGCTTAGTTTTCCACGACGAACCGCGCGAAATTTTTGTGTCCGGACTTGCGATCGGGGGGAGGCGAACCAGCGAGCGAAGCTGGATTTTTTCTCAACCTAGTTGTCGAGTAGGTAACCTTTGACCATTTTTTGGGGTAGTATAGTCCCAATATAATCCCTATATAACCAACAAGGTTAAGCTTTAGTTCCCCGTGATACCCGACAAGTAGATCAATAGCGTTTTCATACGGTTTTTATAGGGGTTTCACACTGGGGGGTTGGCAGGGTTTATATAGGGCTTGAAACGGCAAAGGTTTTGTAAGGGTGTTTATCATATTCTACAGCAGGATTTTTGGAAGGGCTGTTATGGAGCTTCTTTCAGTTTAACTTAGATCCCCAATACCCAACCTTTAAACTTTTTGGGCTCTTGTAGTCTAGTAGGAATGGGAAAGCTTGACCTTCTATTTCTGTGGCTTATTGGGTTAGTAAGTTAAAGGTAAGGATCCCTTGTTTTTCTGAGAACCTCAAGTTCAAGGGATACAAAGTATGGCTTAGGTACGGCCCCCACTCAGTAATTGTTGAATAATATTCATAATCTAGATATATTAGGACCTGAATAGTAGCCCTATTGTAGACTCTTACTGTATGGGGGCCGTACCTGAAGTATGGCCTGAATTCCAGCTCCATTCAGGACATGGATCCTGGTAGGATGTCGGGCTCGGAGTTTTATAGGGAACTCCAGAAAGTTGGAATATGGTTTCATGGTAGGATACCCTATAATGTACCATAGAAGGGTTAGGATAATCATATTCCAACTTTCTGGCTTTTACTTTAGAGTTTGGGATTTCCAACTTAAGGCTAAGCAACTTCCAGAGAACCCAATACCCCTTAGTTAAGGAATAGACCTTAAATTGTAGAGGCCTTAATATATTGATATAAGGTTCTTTGAGCTGGAGTTTAAGCGCGAGTTTAGTATTCAAGGCTGGCTGGGTTTCGGGTTTCAGTTGTTGGATTCAGGCCGCGCAACGGTGCAGTAGGAGGTTTGGGGTTTAGGGGTTTAGGGTTTAGGGTTGGCTTGAGCAATGGTGTCACGGCTCTTAACAGGGAGCGAAAGACGAAGACAGTCATGATATAATAACACGAGTTTCAATTTTGCATAGTCCGCATCTTGCACTTCCGCTCCTGTATAAGGGCCTCTTCGGTGTTTGTATGTCTTATTAGGCTTCGTCTGTCAGGGTTTCTTAAACATCAGTTAGGCTTTCATCAGTTTTTCGTGTTTATTGAAAGCTCTTGAGCCCTCCCAGAGCATGTCCATCTCGGTGGAATCAAGTGGAGCTTGATTGTGATTCACGATACACCGCGATGCTCCTTTAGCCGCCAATCTCCTTGTGTACCATCTGCCAGCGTTGCCACTTGAAAAGCAGAACTGCGCTAACACAGGGTCTGAATGACGAGTACGTCTTCGTGTCCTGAAGCCTCCTTATGGTCCAAGTCTGCATTTACATGGGTGGCTGTCAAAATCATGGTCCCTTTTTGGGTACCCTCAATTTTGGGTTTCGTATAAAGATAGGGACCCAAAAAGGGACCATAGTTTTGACAACCACCCCTATGTTAACATCGCGAACCGTCCTTCAGGCAAGCAGCTCAAAGCCCTCGAATTTGAGACTCGCAGAACCCTAATCGAGGGCTTAGGATAGGTGGGGTTTAGGGTTCAGGGGTTAGGCGGGTTTAGGATAAGGAAGTTCGGGATGATAGAACAGTCCCGCACCCTATAAGACGAGCTGCTGTAAGCCCCAAGAGATCTGCAAGGGCCGTTTACACCGCAAACCTGCCTTCGATACCTAAACCCTAATTAAACCCTTACGCCCTTAAGCCCTAAACCCTAAACCCTTACGCCCTAAACCCTAAACCCTAAACCCTTAAGCCCTAAACCCTAAACCCTTAGGCCGTAAACCCTAAACCCCAAAACCTTAAGCCCTAAACTCTGGAAGAAGCCCGGGGGGCCAAGGAGACCGGCATCTAGTCTCGAAGACTCTGCCGGAAGAAACCTCACGGTTCAGGTTTTAGAGTTTAGGGTTTAGGGTTTAGGGTTTAGAGTTTAGAGTTTAGGGTTTAGGGTTTAGAGTTTAGGGTTTAGGGTTTAGAGTTTAGGGTTTAGGGTTTAGAGTTTAGGGTTTAGGGTTTAGAGTTTAGGGTTTGCAGTACCGGATTTTGGGGCTTTGGGTTTTACATATAGTCTCCATTGTAGTTCGCTTTTTTTTGCTGCAGTTTCATGGTTAGGACCCTATAATACAGTTTTTGGTTAACCAAAAAAAGGACCCACAATGGAGACTATAGGTAGAGCCACAGTTTGGGGTTTACAGGGTTTAGGGAG